TTGGATCAGCTGAAGGCTTTTAACTACAGTTTGTGGACTTCCTGATAGTAAACAATGAAGGGATGGTTCTCCACCCTTTTATTTATTTACTTATTTCTCTGGCAGCTCTTGTTAATTTATGGGAAACATTAAACTTATTTATAATGTATCGCAACTAGGGGTATGGGAAAAATTGATTGTGCGATATGTAGGGATTTTCAGCTGCCCGATTGTTGATCTTTTAGTTCCTAATATCGATTTTAAAAAAACAAAAACATTTTTACCTAAAACAACGAGGGGAAAATGGGCTACCTTTGCTCCTCCGCTCTGGCACATAGATCTACAGAGACCCTTTTCTGTGTGGCGTAGCGCCATATCTGTAGTTAAGGTTGTCACAGTGGAATGGATACCAAAATAACTAAATGATCAATATCCTCTGATGAAGATTCACAGCACTTGCTTTTTTTATCTATACGTTTCATTTGAAACATATTGCAATATATAGTAATGGTGCAATATCGTATTGTGAACCAAGTATAATGACACAAACACCCATGCCAATACTCACACTTAATCGCAACACTGGAATTTATCAGGTTACTTAATTCAAAAAGATGAATAAAATAGGTGAAACTCTTCTCATTTCCAATAAAAAGAGGTGTAGATCTATCATTAATAGACAGGATATGTCTTTCTGACATACTGTCAGACTATTTACCTTCCTTTCAATGAAATGGATGCGAACTGTGAGCTAGCTCTCTGTTTTTAGTCTAATCCATCAATCATTTCAGGGACTTTGTTCTGTTTGTTCTGGTTTTTCTTTGAGGAATGTTAGAACTTGGCTCTTAGGATTATCTCATAAATCCCTTTCCAGCCGCTACGCTAACTGCTAGCACATCTTCTTCTATCCTGTTCCAATCATTTAGCATAATGTCCTCCACTTATCTATCATCAGCTGGTTCCCAGGCAGCTTTCGGCTAGAACAATGGGTCATAAACTCACAAAATGGCTATTACCATGTGGCCGGAGATTAGGTTGTTCGGAGCTAATGAGGCTAGCCAGTCCAACTGTGGTAGCCTACATTCACACTGCAAACAGCAGGAACAGCAAAAACGCACGTGCTGCTTCATTTTTGATGCTTGTACCAGTTTAGTTCTGACGCATGGCTGAAGCATCTTTGCTGCTCCAGCTGTGCGGTGCAAAAGTGGGTCTGCTGCGTGTTGGGTAGAGCTACCCTATCCTTTCTTTGCCAGGAACAATTGCAACTATATTTGCTGTGATCAGTGGATAAAAAGTAGTTTGAATCCCCAGGAGCAGCTGCCTCAGCTGCTCAAACGCGCTGCAGGACGTTTTGCTGCACCTTGACGCGCGTCAACCATTGTCTTTGCATGTAAACTAGCTGCTTCTGCTGCCTCTGCTGCTTGCGGTCTGAACATAGCATGACTCTTCGGGGGAAAAAAGAAGCAGACAGTAACACAGCATGGATCGATCAGTGAGACTCAGTGAGCAGTAGCATTCAGTTCCGAACTCTTAAAGGGGAACACCGTTTTTTTTTTTTTTTACATTGGGCCCTTGATTTTACATTATTACATCATGTTCTACTCACCCATAT